CTTTCAATTTTTTTGGTTAACTGCGAATATATCAGTGTATCTTAATAATGAAAATAAAATACCAAAAATTCTTTTGGAAAATTATTCTTAATTGGCTTATACTAAATTAAAATACTGTACAAAAGGCTTAAATAATGTTTACCCAAGTGTACGCCTGTAAACCCTTTCAGGGCCTAGTTCCCAGGTCTGTGTACCCATATCCTCTTACCTTTCTGTCCAAGGAATTGATACTCTAGTGCGCTCCTGATGGATATGTTTGACTCTATCTTTCATAGGATGAATATAATCTTATGCTACCTTCCACAGTAATGATATTATCTCATGCTAACGTTCCCAGGATGAATATACTCTCATGCTACCGCCCACAGGATGGATATGCCTTCACACTGCCGTCCACTTGATAGATGTGCTTTCACACTACTTTCCACAGGATGGATATACTCTTATGCTACCTTCCACTGGAGGGATATGCTCGCACTACTGTTCATAGGATGGATACACTCTTAGATTACTGTGCACATGATATTAATACTCTCACGCTACTCTCTCATTATAGCACTACTGTCACGTTATTCTCCACATGATAGCACTATTCTCACGCTACTGCCCACATAATACATTTACCCGCACGCTCCTGTAAACATGATGGATATGCTCTCACTCCACCGTCCATGTAACAGATATACTCTCATACCACCTTCCAAATGATGGATTTGCTTTCACGGTACAGTCCACAAGACTGATATACTATGGCGGTACAGTCTACAGAATGGATATGCTTTCATTCTGCTTTCAGGAAGGAACATGTATAAAATTCAGTTGAATGGGCTCTCTCCCTTGCAGAAGTTAGATAATAGTTATTATTATTAGTAGTACAAATCCCATAGATTTCGAAAAAGAAATGGGAAAACATGCCCACTCGCTGAGCACCTGGACCAGATTCATGGAATGCTCTGTTTATAAAGAAGTGCAAAGTACCACTAGCACGAGCCCTCACATTCTTTGGAGAAAGAGCTTAGATCTAGGTGAAATACCGGAGGCCTTAAAGAGTACAGACATAGCTCCTTTGCATAAGGGAGGTAGTAGAGCACTAGCTACAAATTACAGACCAGTAGCCCTAACCTCTCACATCATAAAAGTCTTCGAATGAGTGATGAGACGGCAGGTTACAAATTTCATGGACCAGCACAACCAACATAACCCGAACCAGCATGGTTTTAGAGCAGGATGATCATGCCTGTCACAGCTGCTGAACCATTATGACAGAATTAAGGAGGCACTGGAAGACGACCAAAACGCAGATGTGATTTACACAGGTTTTGCAAAGGCGTTTTGACAAATGCGATCATGGAGTGATAGCGCACAAAATGAAGGGCATGGGCATTACGGGGAAGGTAGGCAGATGGATTTTCGGTTTCGTAACACACACAACACAAAAAGTAATAGTGAACAGGGCAAGATTCTGCATCAGCGAGGTGAAAAGCTCAGTGCCCCAAGGCACTGTCCTGGCACCTCTGCTGTTCCTCATCCTCATAGCAGACAGACAAAAACACCCGACACACTTTTGTATCATCATTTGCAGATGACACTAAAATAAGCATGAAAGTCAGTACAGTAGAGGACACTGAAAAAGTACAGGAAGACATAAACAGGAAACTGGACAAGTATCAACCAGGCTGTGATGGATATGTGGGGCTGTGGGCCTCCAGCAGCAACAACCTGGTTGACCAGGCAAGCACCAGACGAGCCTGGCCCATGGCCGGGCTCAGAGAGTAGATAAATCTTGAAACTCTACAAAGGTTTATCAAAGGTACCTGATGATTGTTTTGGCTCTAGTGTTAAAAATCTTCCTAAAAAGTAAATAATAATAATAATAATTAATAATAATAATAATAATAATAATAATCATAATAATAATAATAAGGCCTTGGAATTAGTCTCTAAAAGGATTAACTAACATGAGTACACCTGGTGTATATATTTTATCCGTTACATGCAAGTTTAAGTACTTCCTAAGAATTTCTAGTATCTTATTTTCATTTAAAAGGTGCTTTGACATATCTCTCTATATTCCTCAGTTAGTTGTCGATCAAACACAAAGTGTTCAAGAAAAGTGATCATAAACCTGACTTCATACTTCACATTTTGTTTGATCATCGCCTGTTTATGTACCAAACTGCCAAAAGTATCTAATCAAATCTAAGCCTGGACACTACATCAGTCAGTCTGTTTACAATATGTACTCAGGCTTCTAAATGCATTCCCTTGAAGTTCAAATTCGTTATCCTTTTCTGCAATTATTACTAATTCTTCACACAGAAAAACATTATAATCGACTTTTTCCTTCAAACTACTTTCTTTGACTACTTTACCAATTTTAATTTGGCTTCTCCATTGAACATGTTGCTAGTCATTATGGGTGTCAATTCCTTTCGGAAATAACATTGAATCAGTACTGGTCAGGGAGTCATGCTCAGAGTCGTAGTTAACTTTGTGCAGAGGTAAAGAAATTAATGCATTTTTTATTCCTACATGATAAGGCTCAAAATTAATCATAGAAATCGGAGATTACCTTAATCTGTATGTGTCATGTATTTGAAATATTACTAAGAGAGAGTTAAATTATTTATTTGAATGTCTTACGAATTAACTTAGAAATCTTAGTAATCTATTACCCACTGTGATAATATGAATGGATACAAGCACTTCATGGAGCAACTTGCAATGTAAACAGACTGATGGATGATGTTGTAGCCTGGCTTAGACTTAGTTAACAAGTACTTTGGCAGTTTTACATACATACAGACGATGAAATTAAATGTAAAGTATGAAGTCAGTCTTATGGTCACTTTTTTGAATACTATGTGGCTGATTGTCCACTTATTGAGAAAAATATAGCTAGAAAGTGCACTGCAGTAAACTACGTGATGTGGCAAAGCATCTGCTTATTTACCCTACATTTAAAGCTATCTATCGTTCTTGCCTCACTAACGCTCCCTGCAAGTTTGTTCTGCTCATTTACAACTCTGTTGCCAAATCGGTATTTCCCTAAATCCTTTCTGAATCAAAATTTTGTCCAACTTGAATCCATTGCTGTGCGTTCTGTCTTGGTTAGATATTTTTAACACGCTATTTGTATCCCTTTATTTATTCTTGTTTTCTGTTTGTACGCTTCAGTCATATTTCCCTTGATTCTTCGTCTTACCAGAATGCAAAAATCAATGCATTCAGCCTGTCTTCATAAAAAAGATTTCCGATCATTGAAATCAGCTTCGTAATCCTTCTTTTTATATTACCCAGCGCATTTATGTCCATTCTGTAATATCCAGACTAGAACCGAGCAGTATAATCTAAATAAGACTTAAACAAGATATATGGAGTTGAAATATAACCTTAGGACTACTACAGTTTATACAGCGTGATATGAATCCAAGAATTGTATTAGTTTTTTTTATGCGAATACTTATGCGCTATTATCTTGATTATAAATTTCTGCTAATCAGCATTCTAAAAAAAATCGCATTCACCTTTACTAATATCTACATATTTACATTGTAAGTGCCATAGACATTTTCTTGTCTTAGTATTAGAACCTTTGACTTGTCTACATCGAACTGCATCTGCTATTTCTACGACCACAAAATCTGCCTATCCAGGACTTCCTAAAGCCTTCTAGTGTCCTTATCATAAGTTATTTGACGGTATGTTGTAGTATCATTGACAAACTTATGTTGTTGTGTATTCCCCCATCAAATAAGGAAATCACAAATTGTAAATAGCGGTTACCCAAATGTACTACTTTTATACTCTTACTCCACCTTCATAGACTGGACCCACAATAAACTAGCCGTTTCTGTGGAAAATAATATACTTTCTTATAGTGGGGTCTAGACGACCAGGTGTGTGTCACAGTCATACATTGTCTTTCCAAATATGGAAAGGATAGCGAACCACTGTAAGGAAATGTAAGGAAATTGTGGCTGCTGTCTGTGGGTGGAAGGCGCTAATTACGTAAACAATGTTTGTCCAGAAATGTTCTCATTTTCATCATATTAACACAGTCTTACATGTGCAGTTGTACACACACCGCCACATATATACACTCTTTTATACACTTGCACATATAAATGCTCATGCACACTCATTTACACATATGTAAACATACATACAAATTCATAAATGTTCATATATTAGTATATACGTGCAGATGCATACTCTGATTATTTAAGAACAAGCCGTTCCTTAATTAACGATTATCTACGCTTTTTAATTTATGACTGAATGAAATCATTTTGTGTATTTCTTTTATTTCACTTGGTGGTTAGGATAACATGTCGAATCTATTTTTAAATCTTCAAGTACATGTTAGCTTTAAGTAGAATAAAAAGTAATATTTTTTTTTACTGATAACAATATTGTTAGTTAAATCTGGGACCTCCTGTCATAATTATGTTTGATAATATGAACTTGTCTGTGTTAAACTCGCTTGAACTCATTGGCATAATCAACAGCAGCAGAATGAGTAAAATAATCACAGGTAATAATAATGATAATTATTATTACTTAATAATAATAATTTAATAATAGGAATTTAATAATAATTTAATAATAATAATTTAATAATAATAATTTAATAATAGGAATTTAATAATAATAATAATTTAATAATAATAATAATAATAATAATAATAATAATAATAATAATAATAAAAACATAGCTATAAAATATGTGAATGCTCACTTGGAGTCATGAATGAACTAATGATTTTTAAAGAGGTGACCGGTAAACCAGCTGAAGTCCTCGGTCAGATAGCCAAAAGCTCCAGGAAACGTCAGGAAACACTTGTCCTGTTTCCTGACAAACATTATACCTTGAAGGAATCCTTGATTTCTGTAAATATTTTACTAAATTACTTTATGCAGTCGTACACAACGTCCTTGGAGGAGTTCAGACTACGTCCAAGAAGAACACAGGAAGATATAAGCAATGAATTCTTTACCTTATGTGTGTAGGAAGACACGGCACAGATGATATACGATCTTAACTTGCGTACTGAGGACTAAAGATGGTGGTGGCGGCGATATCTTTTCCAAGTGTTAGAACAAGGTTAAATGCCACCCGTACTTCAACTTTCCATTTGCATCACGAGAAAGCAACTTGACCTTAGAGGCAGCGATTGGGTTATTGTTTTCTTATCTGTGGATACAATCATAAATTTATATTTCATTCAAACTTTTATCCACTTGTTTAAATTGGCAACTAAATTGTTCTGCACAGTATGATACACTATCACCTCTCTGACAGGTTAAGTTAAAATGCACACTGTTATCACTAACGCTCCAACACCTGTGTCCGCCCTGTTCAGTAGCTTCTTGTGAAGTGCCATAGAGTACGGGGATGGCACTCTGGCTAGGCACTGGCACTTCTGTCCTAATGATGAAGATGTCAAGGAAACCCAAAGTGCCAAGAGGGAGGAGTCTAAGTATCGTTCACGTAAGAAGTTCCTTAAAGTTCGCTCAGAAGACGAGATTGCTACAGTGTATTGAATTTCATGTACAGTTCGCATAGGGCAACAACACTGATAATTAAACGTACTTTATATATTAGCTTGCCTTCTATGTTAACAATCAACATTTAAACACGAAAAAAGGTCTCGTGTCTTACCATGGAAAAATATAACACACAAGCCACAGTATGAAGCTTATTTCTCTTACTTGATAGTGACGAAGCTGTCTATTGGTGGGCTGGGAGCGCGGTAATTGGCTTACCTTACCAGTGAGACAGCTGCACCAATCACAAGACACCAGGGGCGGGGCTTAAGATTTAAGACGTCTTGAGTTTACTACTGCAAGAATTTCCTTCTTTTATTAGTGTTTTTCTTATATAATCATAAATCAGATCCTCTATAATTGTAGACTTAAATATCACAGAAGTCGTTTAAAGAATTGAAACGTTCATTAATAGTACTGTATTGGTATTAAATACGCAAATATCTTGAATGTAAGACAAAAAAAATTAGTAAATGCTTATTAGTATTATTTTCTTTGTAAGGCATGACTCGTCACAATAAAACTTGCTTGCTTCACACACACACACACACACACACACACACACACACACACACACCACACACACACACACACTGCTCAGAGGAATTAATAGGGTAGATAGGGACAGGCTGTTTAAGAGAGAAATAGGTACTCGGTAACACAGTTGAAAGATGAGCCATAGGGATGTCAGGAAGTATTTCTTCAGGCTCAGAGTAGTCGGGAAGTAGAATGAACTAGAAATGGCGGAGGCAAGTTCGATGCATAGTTTAAAGAGTAGGTACGATAGAGAAAGGAGGGAGTGAATCTAGCAAGCAGCAGTGTAAGAGACGGGGTCAGGTGCTGAGACTTGACCCCTGCAACCTATCACCATCATTTTATGTACAATCACCCAGTGATCGCGTTTGTGGTAAAGACTGGTAACATGTATATAGTAAATTAAAAGATTGCATTACCAAGCTCCTAAAGGACTTTATTGATATTTTTATTTGCCCGCTTTGTATTTTCCGCGTGATGGAAGGCTCTCACTTGGTAACCTGGAGGTTACCTGGAGGTTATTCCGGGGATCAACGCCCCCCCGGCCCGGTCCATGACCAGGCCTCCCGATGGATCAAGGCCTGATCAACTAAGCTGTTACTGCTGGCCGCACGCAGTCCAACGTACGAGCCACAGCCCGGCTGATCCGGCACTGACTTTAGGTATCTGTCCAGCTCTCTCTTGAAGGCAGCCAGGGGTTTATTGGCAATTCCCCTAATGCTCGATGGGAGGCTGTTGAACAGTTTTGGGCCCCGGACACTTATGGTGTTTTCCCTTAGTGTACCAATGGCGCCCCTACTTTTTATTGGGGGCATTTTGCATCGCCTGCCCAGTCTTTTACTTTCGTAGGGAGTGATTTGTGTGTGCAGATTTGGGACCATTCCTTCCAAGATTTTCCAAGTGTAGATTATGATATATCTCCCCCTCCTGCGTTCCAACGAGTACAAGTCAAGTGCTTCCAAGCGTTCCCAGTAGTTAAGGTGCTTGACAGAACTTATACGTGCAGTAAAGGATCTCTGTACACTCTCTAGATCTGCGATTTCACCTGCTTTGAATGGAGATGTTAATGTACAGCAGTATTCCAGCCCAGAGAGAACAAGTGATTTGAAAAGGATCATCATTGGCTTGGCATCTCTCGTTTTGAAAGTTCTCATTATGCATCCTATCATTTTCTTTGCACGTGCGATCGTGGCACTGTTGTGATCCTTGAAAGTGAGATCCTCAGACATTACTACTCCCAGGTCCCTTACATTATTTTTCCACTCTATTGTATGGCCGGAGTCAGTAGTATATTCCGTTCTAGTTATTATCTCCTCCAGTTTTCCATAACGGAGTAGTTGGTAAGTGCTTTTTATCTTCATATCGTCTGCTACACATTTTTTTTCATTTATTAAAAGTAATTTCCTAATTGATTCTGCTCCCTTCGATTACTCCAAGAAAGACGTTTAAGAAACTCGTTTATAACGTTCACTTCCTCGTTGCATGAGCCGATGCAAAACAGTAGTTTATATAAGGCTTCTTGTGACAGTGGCTCTAATGTCTTATGCCCGACCCCAAGTGGTTGAAGAGGCAGGAGCTGTTAAGCCTATACACGAGTAGGTCCTTCAGTGTTTAGCGTCAGTCTAGGCTTCAGTCTGTCTTAACTATAATGGTCTTTCTAGGTCCTCCCCTCCCCACTCACAACCAGTTTATGACTCCGATAGACTTTTTCTTCTATTTCAACGCTTGTTACACACATAAAGAACTCTGCCAACAAATCTGTCAAATCAGCATTGATTAAAGTAGTTCAGCCTTACGTTTAGAATGCAGCCTTAAGACTGCGAGTTCTCGTGTGTCAAAACCACTTTTGTTATGACGAAGAATGGTTGTATACCAGTAGAAGGGGGGAAGATGGAGGGTATAAAGATTGTGTTGAAGTACTGTAGATAGTTTTAAGAACTCTCTCTCTCTCTCTCTCTCTCTCTCTCTCTCTCTCTCTCTCTCTCTCTCTCTTTTACACAGGGTTTGACAAGGTTAGGTTAAGGATCCCTAGCTTTATTAACAAGCTAATTACAGGGTAAGGATTCCTAACTTTATTAACAAGCTAAGAGCTGTTACCTACATCAGCTCATTTGAAAGCATTTTTATTGTTATGAGACATACAAGTAGGAACAGGATGAAGTTGGAGCCATCTGTGGGCCAGCATTTTCATTCGATCAACTGACTTTATCTTGTTGACATCATAATGCTGTACGAATGTGTTCCATACTTGCGTCATCCAGGGTATAAATGATCTCAGATGAAGTGATGTTCTGGAGGAGGGTACAGCCAGAGTGAAGTTGCTGCTTTCTGCCCGTCATGTGATATAGAAGTTTGCTTCACGTTGTCCTCGAAGTGGATCCAAGTATGGTACTTTGACAGTATTGGCCTTATACATAACAGTAAGGCCACCCACATCCCTCCTGTGTTGAAGGCTCTGCTGAAATGACAGATCTATCCAGGATTGGTCCAGGCGAGAGATGAGACGTCTTGCTCTATTCTCTACTCTGTCAAGCAGTCGCAGATGAGAGGAGGGGCAGGCAAATCAAGAAAGTGGAGCATCAGCATAATGCATGTACCTGTGAAGGTGTCTTCACAAAATACAACTTCAGCAACAAGAATATCAACTGGGACCAGGTAAACCATGTCCTAAACGAAACATGTTGGGAAGATATCTTAAATGACATGGATCCAAACCAGTGCCTTGAAAGGATCATCTTCCTGGCAGCTGAAGCATGTTCTAGGCATATTCCCCTAAGAAAGACGAAGAGCAGGAGTAAACTGGAGAGAGAAAGACGCTCCCTCTACAGAAGATGATGAAGAGTCACTTGAGCTCCTCAGGAGTGCTAGAATATCTGATACACGAAAGGAGGCGCTGACCAGGGAAGTGGAAACTATCGAACTTAAGTTAAATGACTCTTACAGGAACCAGGAGAGACAGGAGGAGCTTAAAGCTATTAGTGAAATTGAAAGAAATTCAAAATATTTCTTTTCATATGCCAAAACAAGGCAAATACCACATCTAGTATCGGGCCCTTACTCAGACAGGATGGGACTTACACAGATGACAACAAGGAAATGAGTGAAATATTTAAATCCCAGTGCGACTCTGTGTTTAGTGAACCACTAATCAGTCTGATGATCGACGACCCAAATGATTTCTTCATGAATGAGCCCCAAAACTCCATAAATGTATGCAAGATTTCCGACATTACCCTAACTCCGATAGATTTCGAAAAAGCCATTGACAACATGCCTATGCACTCAACCCCGGGCCCAGACTCGTGGAACTCTGTTTTCATTAAGAACTGCAAGAAACCCCTCTCACGTGCCCTAAGTACACTGTGGAGGAGGAGCTTGGACATAGGTGAAATTCCACAGTCACTTAAAACAACGGATATAGCCCCACTCCGTAAAGGTGGCAGCAAAGCCAATAGCTCTGACGTCCCACATCATAAAAATCTTTGAAAGAGTGCTAAGAAGCAGGATTGCAAATCACCTGGATTCCCAAAATCTGCACAATCCAGGTCAACATGGGTTCAGGATAGGTCGCTCCTGCCTCTCACAACTACTGGATCACTATGATATGGCCTTGGATGCACTGGAAGAAAATCAGAATGCAGATGTAATATACACAGACTTTGCAAAAGCATTTGACAAATGCGATCATGGCGTAATAGCCCATAAAATACGTGCTAAAGGAATAACTGGGAAAGTGGGGAGATGGATCTTCAACTTCCTAACAAATCGAACACAAAGAGTAGTGGTCAACAGAGTTAAATCAGAGGCTGCCATAGTGAAGAGCTCTGTTCCACAAGGCACAGTGCTCGCCCCATCTTATTCCTCATCCTCATATCAGACATAGAGATATACATCACAGCACCGTATCATCCTTTGCGGATGATACTAGGATCTGCATGAGGCTGTCATCTGCTGAGGACGCGGTTAACCTCCAAGAAGATATAAACAAAGTTTTCCAGTGGGCAACGGTAAACAATATGATGTTCAATGAGGACAAATTCCAACTACTCCGTTATGGAAAACTGGAGGAGATAATAACTAGAACAGAGTATACTACAGACTCTGGCCATACAATAGAGTGGAAAAATAATTCAAGGGACCTGGGAGTAGTAATGTCTGAGGATCTCACTTTCAAGGATCACAACAGTGCCACGATCGCACGTGCAAAGAAAATGATAGGATGGATAATGAGGACGTTCAAAACGAGAGATGCCAAGCCAATGATGATCCTTTTCAAATCACTTGTTCTCTCTAGGCTGGAATACTGCTGTACATTAACATCTCCATTCAAAGCAGGTGAAATCGCA